CTGTATTGCTGGGGTCGAGCGGCACCACCGGCAGTCATCGCTTGACACAACTCAATTTTATTACGTTAGTAGGTTGTTCTCTACCATGTAACTTCTATCATGTTTCCGCAAATAACAGTTAATATTGTGGGCAAGAATATTAAACGCGTTAGAATACCAATCTTGTTTAACTAAATGTTGTGTGGTTGAGGGTCCAGGGCTACTTTGTTGGGCGTTAACTGTTATGCGTTTAATGAGACAAGGGCTACCGAGAGTTATCGTGGAGTCGTCCGTGATTTCGGAGTCATCAAAGCTCAGCAAACGATAAGTTAAAATGCCTTTACTGGGGATTTTCGCATCGTTTTGACCGCTTGTACATAGTGTTTCATGATGAAAGCTTTTTCTTTGAACTCCTGTGAGGGCTTCCGTGACAAACTGAAACTCGGAGCGTGCCGTTCAGTCGCTCGACGTGCCATTTATTTAGCAACCGAAGCAAGCGACGTCGGTAAAGTCAGTCGTGCTCCGGCCAATTTTTTTTTAATCGATGTTCAAACGCTTGACGAATGTCTATTTGATCTCCAAGAACCCGACATAATCATCGCAGCACGTCATAAAATGCTCGCCCTCGAGCACCGCGTACAAGCTTCCAATTTTTGCATGTTTGTTCCTTAGACTTGCGTGTATTGCCTCGTGGTGTAAAAGGCCAAAGCAAGAAGAACGAAAACGAAGGGAGAACTAGACAGGACGCGGCATATTGCCTGTCGTCAAGCAATGGCCGCCGGTGGGGCCAGTGACGGGCTCCCAATTCGCGATACAGACTTGCACTGTGAGAGTTCTAATGCATTACACCCGCCGAGTGCTGCACGGAGAACAGGCCCCGAAATAACTTGCCGAAATGCACCCAGTGCAGACTGATGCTGTCGCCATAGATGTTGTAGAAAAGTACCGACCTCAAACCGAAACTAGCACCTTTTTGTTCGACGTGATGAGTGGGAATGCGAGAGTGCGGTCGCTGCCATCGTTTAAACGTTGGTTGCTGCAACGTGGAACTTACATTTGCGATGACTTCCACTTAAGCAACTTGGCTGTCAGAGATATCTACAGACGGCGTAAGTTTCCGAAACCAGTTGACTACAAAACAGCTTACGCTTGAGGAAATTGATGGCACTGTACGCGCAAGAGCTTGCTTCGTTTTAAGCATAATATTATGAGTGAACCACTGAAAGGATACGGCTTATATCTAGTTCTTTGGAACAGCTAGCAATACGTTTCGTAAGACTTTTTATTTCCCTGGCATTGAAAACGAGAGCTTTCTCAAAACAAAATATGACGGGGCGAGATAGCTGCCGTTCAAATATGACTTTGCTTGAGTCTCGGGCAACGTCTCCATGTTTAGCCTTCCCGGACGCTGAGTGAATGCGTCGCAGGTTTCTGCTGTGGGAGCTTTGTCGAAAAATGTTGCACTTTTCACCCATACACAAATGATGCTAGATCTCGCGGCCCCTGTGGTTGTCCTGGGCCTTTCATTACACACTGGTAGGTTTCAGCGTCTGTACGGCTACAAAACGACTCAAATTTCGCAAATAAAAGACGGGCCGTCGATTCCTCCCTTCATGAAATATCAGACGCTTACAGTTCAAGCTCGCGTTTGAGTTTGTGGCCCGCGGGACGCGATTTCGAGCAGAAAACCAACTTTTTCTTTCAGTTCCGCTGTGCGAATGCCTCATCGTAGCAGACGAACTCTCGTCGTCTGCTCTCGCTCCTCGCCTGGGCGAGGCATGACGGGATTGTCGGCGCTAGAGAGCCCAAAGACGACGTACAGCGAGCGGCGTGAACGCTCGCCTCCCCGCGCTGTCTCGTGCTCTCGTGCACCGCCTAGGGATCGCGGGGGATTTTTCGTCAAAAGTTGCGAAGTTGAGCGCGCGCAGGGAGGAGGAAACTTTGCGGCGTTCTTTTGGTCACTCCCCCCGCTACGTCAAAAAGCGAAGAATGTTTTTCTCCACGAGTTTAGCTACCCAGGCCAAAGCGAGAGGTTCGGGCCAGGGCTCGTAGCGTATGTGGGCCCGTGCAGTGACGTCATTTTACACTTCCCACCCTTGACGTCATGCTCAGGATTATCAGCTGTGAACGACATATTCGATGGTGCGTCTTCAAATTGACGGTGACAAGTTTGATTGTTTACTATAGAACCTTGGAGTCATCGTGTTCCTAAAACATCACGCTCAATATTGACAACCCGACATTAATCTTATTTACACGTAGAAGAGCGCGTTGGGTAAACCAGAGTTTACACAAATACAATGCAACACTGAAATGGACAAAAACAAAACAAACACCCTTCTTAAAAAAATGTAAAAAAACCTGTAAAAAATTTTGAGTATCTGTCCGTCCATTTCAGTATTTTATTCTTTCTGTGTGAACCATTGCTCTTGTTTATGTTGATGAAAGCAGAATTAATCCCAGTTTGACTAATCTTGGAAAGCCGGCCAGACCGATGTTCTTGGTAGCCAACGTGGCCTATACACGTTTGCAATAAAGGCTCCTGTGCGCTGCCATTTTGAGCGATGCTGGCGCCCCGTACCGTTTCCGCCATGCTGGGGTGCGCCAGGGGCACAACATTGGGGTGCGCGATGACAAGATGGTGCCGTTTGCTGCATCGCTGATGGCTTACGTTAGCGGCACACTTACTGTCTCGGAACGCAGGAGGAGGTATCCACACAGAATCGTAGCGTCACATATTGTAGGACGGGGCATCTTTCAGGGTTGGAGCTGACTTTATAACGATCGCAGCCTCTGTTCCTGCAGGTTGTGGAAGCCAGAGCTGCCGCGAGCGCAGCCATCGTTGATGCAAAGGCCATGCGACTTTTGGCGCATTCTGAAGAGAGCGCCTTGAGACTTTAGATCTTTTTGAAAATTTTCGATTTGTTACCGCTTTAGGCATTTTATTTAATTGTCCTTGCTATTTCGCTGTCGAAGACGACGCCTGTACGTTTTATAATGATTTTTTTTTTTAATTTCTTTCTGCGCTCAGTCGTGCACGCTTCGGCGAGAGACGCTTGGCAACATTGTACGACAACCAGCGAACGTCCTGGCTGGAGAGTAGGTCCGCCTCACCTTGGCGCGCGGTTCGAGGTTAAGCCGGGATCCTACTTGCAAAGGTGTATAGTCTGTACGTAGAAACACAAAACAGTAAATTGATTTTATCCCGTCCATGGGGGTACAACCAATACCATTTAGAACACAAGGCCTGCGCATTTCCTCCCCTAAACGTCATCACTAGTAGATCCCCTTAGCGCCCCCTAGCTAGCCCGGATGAGCAACATCGTCTGCTACATCGTCTGCTCCATCGCCTGCTTCAGTGGTTTGTGTAACAGATAATGAAACAGATGCTCACGCCGAGTGTCTCTTGCAAATAGCATACGATGAAGTTAGACGTTCACGTGGAGCGTCAAATGCATGAGCGAAATTGCCTTACTGCTGCACGAAGGGCTGAAAAGCCCTTCGTTGGACGCTGGACGCCGACACTGGACGCCATTTTCGAGGGCGCTGTTTATACCTCGGGTAGCTGCTTCGAAGCGTTCTACCGCAGAACGAGCGCGCGCGCTAGAAATGCGCGTCTCAAAGCCAGGAGCGCGTGCTAGCTCGCGCTCCTGGCCGAGGGAGCGTTCGCGTGCACGTCGCAAATGCACTGGAAGCTCGCTATCGGCTCGCGCTCTGCAGTCACGCACACAGCTGCGGCCGCAAGTGAATCCGACGTAGTTGCGACGCGGCCCCTACTCTCGTCAAGTTTCCGGGTGTTTGTTGCTTGGGGCGGGTCGGGGATCTAATAACGAAACGTCATGCGCAGGCCTTGTCATCTAGGTGGTATTGGTACAACTGCCCAAAGGCGAACTCCGCCCGGCGGGCAGCTCTACTCGGCTGGTTCTGACCTGGCCACGTTGGCTACACTTTGATCCGAGAGAAACGAAAGGAACGGCAGCGACGTTTCTCAGTAAATTAGGCTTTATCAGCTGAAATAAGAACGATATCGGACAGTCGACATTGACGGTGTGGGTTTTAGAATGCCATTACCCCAAGCGTGCGCCGTGCCTTTCAGAGCCCATTGAACATGATGGTCACAGCTGGTAATCTTTCTCGTCACGTCACACGTATGAACCACGGTCCTCTCCGCGCGCTCTCTCGTGCGGCTCTTGTTCGGCGCCTACGGGGTGGTAGGGATTTCTAGCCCCTAATAAAAACCGTCACGACGATAAACAGATCTGCGGGTTTGTGAGAAAAGAAAACTTCACGGCAATCTTTCGGCTCCTCCCCCTACTGTTTTAACACAGAGAATCCTTGAGTCCAGGAGTTAAGCGATCCTGGTTGGCGGCGTTCGCAGACCGGTCACCCTAGGGTGCCTTCATACACTTTCGCCACGTAGGGGGGCGGCATCTCGGCCATTTCTATGCCCAGAATGCACGTGCTTCGATCTCGTTTGGTGCGAGCGCTTAGCTCTGCCGGGTGCTTTGGCGCCATTTTAAGGCCCATTCGGCACGCGCAGGCTGTTTTCAATACACAAATGGGTGCCTTCACCCTATGACAGACGCACATTGAGGCACCCTAGGTCATCCGGTCGTCCGGTTGCCCCGATGACGATTCCTATTGCAGACTGCGGATTCCACCCCTAAATAAGTCCAGTTCAGTGGCCTCGTTTCTGCATTGAATATCAAAACCGAAAGTTATCCTTTCTTTTTGCACACGTGTAGAAAGAAGGCGGACATCCCTTGGTAGGAAAGTAGTAGCACATAGTCCTCCTTTTCATTCGGTAATGAAACAATCTTTAGTATTTAAAATATCAATACATTCACCTGGTTGATTTTCTACAAATCTGTTACAACCTCGCGTGATTTTCGTTTGCTAAACTTTTACTTTAGGATGTCTAAAACTTCAAGGAGCCAATGTAGTAAAGTTTAAAAAGAAATCTGTCTTAGCGCCGAATGTACCTACTACATAGTCTAATTTTCACGCGGAGTGCACGGAATCTAAGACCAGAAACTACATTTATTTGCAGGATTCATGGGCGAATTCTGAGGGCACTGGAATGCATTAGCAAACGCGTCCAAGTTCATGAGTGGCACGTTGCAGCGTTGTTGCCATGGCGCGTAATGAGGTGCCACTCGGCTTCCTGGAACTGCGCACCATTTGACGCATGATGAAATGAAGAAAATCTGCCTGGAATTGTAAGGCAGGCTGGGGAAGCGCTTATTGTCCGGATATTCCTGGAACGCTTTGAGAGCGGACGAGAGGCCAAGGAAGTCGGCCATGTTCTCGGAGTCGAGGGTGGAATTGAGCAAACTTGCCTGGCGTCGGATGGCCGTCTGGTGTGACCTCCTCAAGCAGAGTGTCTTGTTTTCAAAATACTGCCGGGAACGTGGTGTCCACCAGTCTGTAAGTTTTCCCGTGGCATCCCTCTGACTGCCGTCCACGTCAAAGGAGTGCATCATCTCGTGGCCCATGACATGACCAAGGCCTCCGAAGTTGAAAGCCTCGGGTCCATTGAGTACATACACGGGCGGCCGTATGACCGAAGCCATAATGACCATAATATTTCGAACTAGAAGGTAGAAGGCGTTGGCTGGTATGAGATTGAATACGAAGTGTTCTTTATCTCGGATGCACCACTGCATGTTTCGTTCTAGTGCCTGCAACCAAGGACCAAGAAAGCTGTCTCGAACATCCGGATAGCGTTCGTAGAATGCTTTCACAGCTTCTTCAGTCTGCAGATGCGTGGGGTATCCTACGTGCTTTGTCATTGCTTGCACTTTTTGTAAGGCGACCGACATGGGGGCGGCATCTAGCCAGTTGGATTTTTTTATTCCTTCAATTACAGAGGCTTGAATGCGCTTCAGCATGACATTCGTTGCGCGTATTGCCTCCGATGGAACGGCGCTGTATAAATACACAGATAACGCTGGCACTTCCATGGCTTTGATGACGGCAATCAAACATAGTCCAGATGTAGAATGTTTCGAGTGAATATTTGCGATAGAGGGGGATGCGAGCGGAGCCAGTTGGCGAAGAACTTCCCAAGCGACAAGGAGGTTCATTCCGGCATCTCCAAATTGCTGGTAAAGAAGGTCGATGTAGGCCAGAGCTCTGAGGTTCACACTAACGTGGTCCGAGCTTTGATAGACGTTTCCTGAGTGGTTTGATATCAGGTATCCCCATCTTTTTGATTGCATGTTTGGAGTTAAAGTATGAATTTCACTCCCTCTGACAAAAGCCGAGTCGTCTTTATGCTCTTGGGCAAGAACCAGAACTATGACTGCTCTTGTTTCAGCTTCGTAAATATCTTTGGTTATTTCGATTATTTCTGAAATTAGCGTCATGCCTGTTAAAGCGATTACATAGCTTAAATAAAATTCTGCCAGTTTATTTGCTGATAATTCGTGCCTTTTTTCAAACCACAAGATCTGAACAGAACTAAAATCAATTACAATTTGTCGTTTTTCCTCGTAGAGGGAGTGATCTGTTAGTGAGAGATCAAGCACAGATTTGAGGTTATATTTAAATGCAAGTAAAATTATCTTGTCCAGAGCATCTGATTGTGTTCCCTTTAATATAGACAAACCAGTATCATTCATGAATGCCCTCAGAGCTTCGGTGTCATCTATTCCGGACACTCCCTGATTTTTACAAACAGTGTATAAACGCGCTGCCTTTTCCATGGCACTTTGTCCGTTCCGCCTGACTTCTGCGCGATTTAAGCCCATCTCAACAGCGTCCAGTATATCATATGTCATTTTAGAGAATATGTCAACTGAGTCATTCTTGTAGTTTCCACACACAAAATTGTAAAAATTGTTGCAAGGGTCAGCGCTCTGGTTCATGATGTTCTTCAATATATTTTCCGCGGCACTGCAGGTCGGACCATGGCATGCGGACTCCCCAGGACCATCCTTGGTAATGGGTGAACTTCTGAATACGTAAATGATGACCACTCCCCCCACTACGATTGCAGCAAGTACGGCGACCAGAACACAAAATTGCGTCTTCTGGTTTACTTCAGAGGTTTCTTCACTTGTCTCGATATCTGGACGTTCCGCTGATAACTGAAATAGGAAAAAAGTAAGATTATGTGGAAAACCAAAGGTGACATACGAGAGGAAAAAAATTATAACCATGTTTAGCAGTATAAAGAAAACTGTTACTTTCTTTTGAATTATAATTTTATTCCATTTACGACTATTACCACGCAGCTATCACATGCTCGCTATCCATTCGATTCACACCCATGAAAATTCCTGAAGCAGTGGAAAGACATCAAGAAGAAACCGTCCTAGATTTTTCATTTTGGGCGGAGTCATTTTGTTCAATTCCAATGTCAAATACCTGCACCCGGGCAAGTTACCGCAGAGTACGCAACCAAGTGAAGAGTGTTATAGACCTTTTCATCCTCCTCCGATTGGGCGCTGCCATTTTGAAATCACGAGACTTGGCAGCCATTAGGTTGCTTCAACTTGCTGCTCCGCTCTCCCCTCCGCGCCTTGGCGGATGCGTTGTTATCGTGTTTTTTGACGCGTTTCACCGCGCTTTCTTGCTTTACTTCGGAAACGGTAGTCCGATACGTCTACCCGACGACTAAGACGACACGAGGGTTCAAAGGTCCTTATGACAACTGAGATTTGTTTACTAATAGTGGCGGAACAATCTCAGTAAGAAGAGCGTATATTTATATCGCGCATGTAGGATCGGAAGGCGTCAAGAATAGTCAGCTCAAGAAGACTATCTGTGTTTGCTGAAAATATTGTTCTTTGTATTCATAATATATCGAAAACAGTTTCTTTTGATTATGTGAGGAAACTCGCGGAGGAGATAGACAACGAACGCTTAACTTGTATTGTATCTAAGGCTAGAGGTAATGGTACGTCAACATTAGGTGATTTGTTTCTTCATATCACACCTACATGCGTTTGAAGATCTCTCTTTTTTTTTTTTTTGCAACGTAAACATTTAGTTGGTCGGTTTACTTATGAAGTTTGAGAAATCGGATACTGTGCGCGCTCCCGTGTCGACAGCCACTTAAGTAATTTATTGATTATAATTAGATAACCATTATGGCGTGTCACCGGTACGATGACTTCTAGCTTCCACCGTCATTCTTCAGCACACCATAGAACTTGTCATTGCCAAGTGACAATAAGTTCCGTCAGGGCACTCATTGGCCACGAACGCGAATCGAAATTTTCGTCGACGGGTTGATTGTTGACGAGCGCATACGTCCGAGTGACGCAGTTCTCGTGTCCAATGCGTGAGCTGGGCTCTGCTAACGTCAGTTTGGCGCCGGTGACGCGCTTTTGGAACCGCGGATGTATCATAGTGAAAAGGCGGAGAGCTTTCGAAGGTAAGAAGGTACAAAATAGTCCGCTATATTTTCAAAAGTTCGTACCGAAAAGCTGACTTTTGACTTTCTAGCCCCTTTCTTTTGGCCAACTAAACGATATGCGATTAGTAAAGTCCCAATTTAAAATCATTCATCCCAACCCAAAATTCGTTTCATGGCCCCTTTAACAATGTGTGGAACTCAGCGCGTGCCATGCTTCTTCCAACCCCAGCGCGTGGCTGCGATAAAGACTGGCTGCAAATAAGCGGCTCCAGGTCACGTGACCGCTTGTTCTGGCTGCGTGTGGATGGAGTGAACCTGCTCATTTTTCTCAATTTAGTTTTTCTGACTGCCATTGCGTGAACAAAAACTTAAAAAAAACAGCTATAGAGTGTTCTATGGGCTATGAATGTACAAAAATGGTTAACAGTCACCTAAACTTCGAGTCTACGTGCTTTGTGTTTTTTTTTGTTTTTTTTTTTTTCACTTTATCATAGCGCCACGAATGATAAATGATGAGGCGGTGAAAAACTGTAGAAACTAAACGTTCAATGGCGAACTTGTGCCCAAAATCAAATAAAAGACGGTTAGCTCGCAAGCGTCTATATTGGCGAAAAAGCAGGACCGAGCACTGGGGCGAGACTGGCTCCGGCTCGCCACACGGAGCTCCTTACGTACAAGCTTGGGCTTCTGGAAAAATCAGCGCAGAAGGTTCGGTGCGTAGAATATTCAGACCGCGAACAAGCAGCAGGGTTCTCGGACTTACCAGAACACGACATTTCCAGAAACAAGAAAAAGATGCGTCAGCGTCCAGACATCGAACCTCGGCTTTTTGCTTACGAGCCAAGCACGGTACCCATTCGGCCACGGGCGCGCTTGCTCGCAGACTTGCGTGGCGATATACGTCGCGTCTCTTACCTATCGCTGCAGCATGTCATCGTGTTCATTTTCCTCTTGATACAGTACTGTTATGGGCTGTGTGCGCGAATAAAGGCATCGTTCTGGTTGGCTTTCAATTGCTTCCCATGACTGGCCAAGCCCTCACTACGACGTCCTTAGTTGTATATAGGGTTCAATCGAGAAAATAAAGACCGGTTTCTCGGTCCGGATAAATAAACCACGCATCGCAGCAAGTTGAAATTTCGTGAGAGTGTCACGCTAGCGGTGATGATAACACCCGAGAGTACGAGCACATGATGTTACCTGCATCAGAAGGTATGAAGGAAAACAAAGTTTCTTGATGAGCCGACGTCCACCAAAGCCCACATTTTATCAAACCAACATTTGAGGCTTTGTGTGCTTCTAGCGATTATTTCAGTGACGAAACTTCTCAGCGTGAAAGACACAGTATCGATTAAATTGATAGGTTTTGGTTTTTTCACTGAAATGAAAGCTGGAAGAAGCAATCTCAGAGTTCGGTTTCATGAATATTATGATTTTTTTTTTATTTACGCAATGTAATTTAATCATGCTTGCGCATTTTATTACCACCGCTAGGGTAACATTCCCATGGAGTTTCAGCTTTCTGCGATACGTAGTTTATTTATGCTGGCTGAAAAACTGGGCTTCATTTCCTAGACACCGAACGGAAATAACAGCCATGTCAGTGTCAGACTGCCAATTTTGACGGTATTGATATAAGAACGCAATGAGTTCAATCTTACACAGTCCATCGAACTTATTGCTCGCAACGGTTGATAAGTAACCCGGATCACAACCCGTGTCGTCATGGCGAGGCAAATATGGTCATGACGTCAAGAACAGAAACAAGAGGGCGCCACAGAAAACGTCTTGGCGCTAATAGACTCCAGCCTGGAGGAGCCGTCTCTTTTACCCTGCTTCTATGGCCAGAGCTGAACGCTACTTCTAGCCTGATCGTGAGAGGACCTACGATATGCGCCTGGCTATTCATAGCTTTAGCCCACCGGAGATTGTTTCATGCCACCGTTTCTTCGAGGGTGCTACCACCCATCTGCGGTCAGGGCTTGTGTCTGGTGGTGGGGAAAAACCGATACCGTCAGCCACTGATCTCGATTGTAGTAGGCTGGATCGTGGACCGCGGCCTCGGCAGCTGGGGCCGAGTGTCGCCACCGGCGGCCATTGATTGACACCAGCCAATGCATGGGACGCTATGGGAAGAACGAGAAAAAGTGCCGTTTTCCCCTGTTTCGAAGCTGTTGTCGGCACTGAAACTTTTTGGCTGCTTTTCGATTAGTCCGTCAAATAGCTTGCGTACAATCATTAAGACTGACAGCCCCCGCAGTTCTTATAAATAAATATTTTGTGGTCGAGAGTGACTCCGCTGTAGTGCAGATCAATGAGGCGAGAGTCAGCTAGAGTTACCGCGGAGTCGGTGGCGGTTTCGTTGAGTTCGGTTTAGCAGACGACACGCTCGAAGAGTTTGCTACGCGGAATTCACTCACTCCCGGAAAGTCACTGTCCAGATGGAACTTCTTTGTCATTCATCAGCTTCTGGGCTTCCCCGAGGACGGTTTCATTGACGGCAAGTTCCGTTGTTTACTCCACTACGAGAGCAAGCTTGCCAGCTCAGCCGTAGGTGCTCTGGTACGTTTGATCTTTTTAATCGGCGTCCAAACCTTTGACAAACACCGATTCGATTTCCAAACACCCAACATAAGGTGGCAGCACACCATAAAATACACGCCTCCGAGCACAGCGTACATGCTTCAATATTCTTACTTTTGTGCGTTTCTCCCATAGACTTGTGCGTATTGCCTGGTATCAAGCAATGACCGCCGGTGGCGACACCGACGGGCTCCCGATCCGCGATCCAGCCTACTACAATAGAGATCAGTGCCGTCAGCTTTGAAGGTGTTGGTTTCGGAATGCGATGGCCCCAAGCTTCCATCGTACTTTTTACGCGTACCACCAAACTTGTTGCTCGCAAGTGATGATAAGTAGCCGGGATCAGTAGGGGTGATGTCACAGATTAAAACATAAAAGGGCGCAGCCAGAACAAGTGCGAGCTTGGCAAAAGCTACAAGAACGAGCTCCGGGCTTTGAATGTTTCTGCCGGACCTCTACGTTCGGGCATGCAAGTATATTCCGTGTTTGTAGCTACGGCTTCGCTCGAACAAAAGTGACAGAAGTATTTATTAGACGGCGAGTGATTCCGGACAATTCTAGAATTCAACAATTTTCGTAACGGGGGTCATTGGTCACGAACGGCAATGAAAATATTCGTCAACCAATAGACCGATCTCACCAAGCGTTCCACGCATGCGTGACGCCGCCATAACTGTAGTTGATAGGAGGCACATGCCAGTTCACGAGAGAGCTCATGCCGCCTCGTGCTCTGCTCGCGCAGACGTCCAGCGGGTTTGTTGCAGGTGCAGAAAGACTAGAGCTCCCACGATACTTGGCGGCAGCGGTGGCGTTCTCAAACTACCTGGGCCGGTTTTTTCGAAGCGATGGTAAACCCATTTTGGTAAACCACGGTGCCTAGGAAGGAAAAAGTACTTAGGTACTGTAATAAACGGCTGGATATAGAACAACAATAATTATTTTTGACTGGGCAGTAAGTTGCGCCATCTATCGGTAAAACAAGCCAGTCATTTTGTTTATCCTCTTTTTCCGCTGGTTGTTATCTATCTAGTATGGTATTTTAGGTCAAAATATAGTAATGTTGTACTTGAAGACAAATTTATTTGCTTCAGATGGTACAAAAAAATTTTAGCTACAGTGCTAGAGTTTGTCGACGAATATTCG